TTATTAATCAAAGGCGTACATTATGCATATGTAGGTGTAGGTGCATCTGTTTGTGTATGTAGATGTAGATGTGGATGTGAATGTGGATGTGGATGTAGATGTAGATGTAGATGTAAATGTAGATGTGTACATATATAAATAAACAAACAAACAAATAAATAAATACATAAATAAATAAATAGATAAATAAATAAATATATATATATATACACCTACGTATATATGTATGTATATGTATGCATGTGTGTGTGTATAGTGCTGTGCAGATCTGTGCAGGAAGTTGATTACAGGAGGTTTTGGGTCCTGCATCCGGAATTTGCTTGCTGGACACAGGTCCTGCCGGACATGCTGCTGATTGCGTGGCTCGTGCCGGGCTTGACTTGTCCAAGTCAAAGTCGGGTTGTGTCTTTACGTGTGCCGGCGTGCCCTGGCCCCTCACTCACCCGAGGTCGTGAGCTTCGTCAGCTTGGCAGCGCTTGGCCTCCTCAGTCGCTCTGAGTGGTTTCGATTTGTTTGGAATGTGCAGGCCCTCGCATGCGTTACATCGCGCGGGAAGCCTCAGGCTGGCTCGGCCACCACGTGGAGCAGCCGCGCTTTGCGGCTTTGGCGTCAGGCGCACGCTGCAGCAAAACAAGCACCGGATCGCCGCAGCTGCTCGGAAGTGTGCCGCCACTGTTGCCAGGAGGCGAGGAACCGGTCATAGCCTACTCGAGCCTGCTGGCTGGCTTCCCCAGCCCGGACGGCCAGGCACAGGGCACGGGTTGAAGATTGCAGGGAGGCACTAACATGCATGCGGTGCTTCCCAGGTGCCCAAGGCGGTCCTGGCAGCAATGCAGGGCAAGGTCGCCGTCGACCTGACGACAGACGCCGCGGTGACTCGGATCCGAAGTTGCTTGTGCTTGGACCGCGCATGTTGGGTTGGGGGGATCTTTGTGAAGGGATGATTATCACATCAGCTGCGGTGAGCGACTCTCTCGCCCTGAGCTCCCAGCTCCGGAAAAAAAATCGGCACCCCCTGGCCTCGAGGCCCGCGGCTTGACGCAGCAGGGCCTCGAGAGGATCCTCGAGTCCACCGGCGACGACGTCCACTTCAATGGGCTTGTGGTTGAGAGCCTGTCCATCCCCCAAGAGGCGGTGGTGGAAGGCTTGGCGAAATCGCATCCGACCCTTCTGCACCTCCCTGGCTTCGAAAACGTCCCGGCGGACTCCTGGGAGCGCTTGGGCGCGAGCCTGGACAGCGACCGCTTGCGGAAGGTGGACCTCAGAGTGCCCCTCAGCCTTTCTCTCTGCGCTTTTTGGGAAGAGCTGCGCCCTGCCGGAAGAGAGTCGAGGTGCTTCCGCGTTTCTGGCGCGGGCTCCAAGGCGCTGCTGACCGGGCTGGCGCGGTGCCGGAAGCTGCAGGACCCGCCGAGTTCCGAGCTGCTCTGCATTTAAGCACGGAAAGCCACGCCCGCGCTTCCGGTAAACAAATCCGGGTTTGGTGGCCGGGGGCCTGCTTTTCGCAGGACCTGGCGATGGACGCTTGCTGCGAAATCCCGGGCGAGGCCTGGGCAGAGCTCGGAGCCGCGGAGTGGCCGGAGCTCCGGAAGGCCAGCTTTGGTATGCGCCTCGGCCGTTGGGAGAGCCGGCGGGTCGGAGGTTTGAGGGGTGGAGGGAAGAGAGAGGAGACAGCTTCTGAAAGGAGAGAGAGGGAGAGAGCGGCGTCTGCGATGCTCCGCTGCCGGGGCCGAAGGTGTTTCGACTCAAGCGGCTCGGGCTCGGAGGAGCTGCTGGCAGCTTTGGGCCGCTCCCAGCAGCTGGAGGCCTCAGAGAGAAGAGGGCCACACGCCTCTTTGCTTCCGTCCCGGCCGCCAGGAGGTGGACTTCAGAGGGAGCGAGAGGATCCCCGACGCGGCTTGGGAGCTGCTGGGCGACGGGGCGTGGCCTCGCCTCCGCGTTGCCGAAGGCGTCCCGGAAAAGCACCTGGAGCGCCTGCGCGAAGCTTCTCTGGACCTCGAAGCGGCTGCAGGCGGGTGGAAGTGTGAGAAGCGTGCGTTGGGGCACTCGTTTCGTCTCTGGCTCTGGCTTTAAGTTCCGCCGCGTCAGTCGAGAGATCCGGAGCGACCGCACTGTCCGTGCCTCATGTGCTGCTACAGGAAATATAAGATTAAGTAATGTAGGAATGCAAGGCATGCATGGATGGATGGATGGATGGATGGATGGATGGATGGACGGATGGATGGATGGATGGATGGACGCATGTGTGGATGTCTGTCTGGGGACCGGAAGCAGTAGCTGCAGCTAGAGGACGAAGCAAAGCTTTTCGGACCGTCCAAGCGTCTTGCGAAGCACTGTCTGCACATCACCTGAGCACTGCACCCTTCCGATCGACGCAGGCGAGGCGGCAAGCTCCATGGAGCTGCAGGGCTGGTTTCCCGGCGGCTGCTGGGCGAAGCAGGTGCTCTCGTCATCGTAGGCCACTCCACGTTGACGCGGCAAGCTCCATGGAGCTGCAGGAGCCCGGTGCCAAGCAGCTGCCGATGTACCCGGCTTTCATCACCTCCGTGGTGATGCCGGAAGCGCCAGCGGCAGTTCAGGGGGACTTCGGCCTGCTGCCCGCTCTGGCCCGCTCCGATGTCGAGGACACGACGGCAGGTTGAAGGGCAGCTGGTGCATTATGTAAGTTCATCATGCTTCTTTTGATTTGTACCGGGGGAGAGGAGAGTAGAGAGGCACCTTTGACAAACCCTCGCGGCCAGGAGCTCAACTTAGATCGGTGCCGGGACGTCCCTGCTGCTGCGTGGCAGCAGCTCGGCCAGGCTCAGGGTGAGGCGTTCCAGAAGCTCAGGAAGGCGAGCTTCGCATGGCGCCTCGGAGAGCAGAGATGACTTTGCGGCTCTCTCCTTGCGGCTGTTGGATGTGGGAGGAAGGGCCTGCGCCTTTTTCTCTTGCGAGGTGCTTCGACAGGGATCCCAAGGGCACCGAGGGCGCCGCCGGGCTGCTGCTGGCCTTGAGCCGCTGCCAGCAGCTGCAGGACGTGCGTAGCTTGCTGGGTCTCGTCGGAGCTTCGTCGGGTTTCCTGCACGTGCTCTGCGGAGGCTGTGAAACCCCAGCCCACTCTTCGAGGTCGCATCGCGAGGTGTTGATGATGACGATAGTCAAACGCTGTGCTCACCCGCTCCGAGTTCCAGTGCGCGTAGAACCGCGATTGCAGCAGGGAAAGAAGAACCCTGGCCGCAGCCTGGAGCATTCCGACACCGCTGCGAGCCCAAACTCCGCTGCAGAGCAGAGCACCGGAGACCCGGCTCTCGGCCAGGAGCTGGGCATGGCGGGCTGCTCCAAAGTCCCGGCCGCGGCCTGGCAGCTCCTGGCAACCGCCCGCTGGGAGCAGCTTCGGAAGGCGGATTTCTCTGAGCGCCTCGGAGGGCGGCTTTTTAAAGGGGGGGATCCTTTCTCTGACGAGGCTTCGGCTCTCGAAGGTTCCAAGGCCTCTTTTTGTCAGAGACCCGTCTGCTGCTGCCGAAGTGCCGCCGAATTCATCGATCGAGGTGCTTCGGCTTTCTTTCCAAGGGCGGCGAGGGCGCCGCCGGGCTGCTCTCGGCCTTGGCACGCTGCCGGCAGCTGCAGGACGCGTCAGCGCGCGAGTTCGATTCTGTTTGCAGTTCCACAGCTTCTGAGGGAGTGGAGGCTGTGCAGAGGCGAGCGAAGCTGATGGTGGTGGGCGAAGCTTGAAGCCAAACTGGATCGGGCTTGCTACCTGGTGGTGGGTGGTGATATGTCATGTGTTGATGCTCCTTTCGAAGCTCACTCGTATCGGTAAGCTGCGAAAAGGCTACATTCCTCGTCCCGGGAACATCGCTTCGGTCCAAAGCCCGCATACGCCTGAAAAACCTTCAGTCCTTCTTGGGACGCGAGGCGGGCGTCTGAAGGGATTTGAGAAGAGAGGCGCCCCACAAAAGCGAAGGACAACCAATCCGATCCTGCCGGCCAGGAGCTGCTGATGCGCGCCTGCGATCAAATCCCGGCTTCGGCGTGGCAGCAGCTCGAGGGCGCTCATTGGCCGAAGCTCACCTATGTGAGCTTCTACGGGCGCCTCGACATTTGGGCAAAAGTTGGAGTGTTCCTGGATGCTCTCGAGATGGTGGTGGGGGTGCAGGGGGGATGTGTGAGCGGTGTGAAACTTCGAGGTGGTAGACATCCAACCGTTTCCCAAGAAAACACCTGGTCTGAGAAGTTGCCCTTAGATACAAGCAGCAGAAGCGTCCGAAGCTGGTCGCGCCTCGGCTTTTGGGCGCCTGTTGGAGTGTGTGCGTGGTCTGGTCGAGATGGTTGTTGGGGTGCGAGGGGGATGTGGGATTGGACGAGGTGGCAGGCACCCAGCCGTTGCACAGGAGCGGTCTGACAAATCGTCGTGGTGTGCTTAGCTCAGAGCCGTGAAGCCTGTTCCCTCACACTCGACGCTTCGTGCCGTGATTGTGGGGGCGCGGTGGGTTTGAGGCGGCCGGCAGCAAGCCATTTCAGTGGGAAGTTTCGATGTTCTCAGGGACAGATAGGGCCTTGGTAATTGAGTTTGTGGTGCAGACTTCGTGGGTTTATATTTGGTGGTTAAATTGAATGGACTGTTTCAAAGCATTTTGGCAAATGCGAACACAGCTGAGTCTGAGTAGCAGAAACACAGCAAGGGTTTCAGCCCGAGGTGCTTCGGCAGCGACTCCAAATGCATCGAGGCGGCAGCTGGGCTTCTCGCCCTCCTCGGCCGCTGCTCCGAGCTGCAGGACGTTACCGCCCACCTTTGCACAAGACAGTCTGTGAAGTCTTGCAAGCTGCTTTTTTGTTGGACCGTGCGCTCTTCGGGGTTGCAAGGGGCAGAGGGCGAACAGGTGAGCATCACACATCAACAGCTTTCAGAGTGGCAACAGACGTATGCATGGGATTCCGCATCGCTCGTTCATAGTGGAGTGCAGATTGTCACGTATCTTGGTTGAGAGTGCTTGAGTGCTTTGGCTGGTTTAGGCCTTGGTGTCTGCAGTGGTGGAGGGTGGCGGCCCCACCCCCTTGCCAGGTCCTCATCCTGGAAAAATGTGACCACATCCCGGCTGCGGCGTGGCAGCAGCTCGAGGGCGCCCAGTGGCCGAAGCTGACGAAGGTGGACTTCCACAGGCGCCTCGGATTTTGGGCACCTGTTGGAGTGAGTGTGGTCTGGTCGAGATGGTTGTGTTGGGGTGCGAGGGGGATGTGGGAGTGGACGAGGTGGCAGGCACCCAGCCGTTGCACAGGAGCGGTCTTACAAGTTGTCGTGGTGTGCTTAGCTCAGAGCCGTGAAGCCTGTTCCTTCAGATTGTGGGGGTGCGGTGGGTTTGAGGCGGCCGGCAGCAAGCCATTTCAGTGGGAAGCTTCGATGTTCTCAGGGACAGGTAGAGCCTTGGTAATTGAGTTTGTGGACTGCAGACTTCGTGGGTTCGTATAAGGCGGTTAAAATGAATGGACTGTATTTCAAAGCATTTTGGCAAATGCGAACTCTCCACAGAAGAGTAGCAGAAGCACAGCACGGGGGTTCCGGCCCGAGGTGCTTCGGCAAATACTCCAAGGGCATGGAGGCTTCTGCCATCCTCCTCTCCGTCCTCGGCCGCTGCCCCGAGCTGCAGGACGCGACTGCTCTTGCAAGCTGGTTTTTTGTATGCATTGGATTCCGCGTCGCTCGTTCATAGTGGAGTGCAGATTGCCACGAGTCTTGGTTGAGAGTGCTTGAGTGCTTTGGCTGGTTTAGGCCTTGGTGTCTGCGTTGGTGGAGGGTGGCGACCCGACCCTGCCCACACTCATGCATAGCAGCCTGGAGCAAGAGAGAGTTGCTCCTTCAGGTTCTTGTGAATGCCCGCTGTGAAGCTCACATCCATGGAGAAAGGGGTCACCGCGCGAAGCGTGGAATTCCCTTGAGAAGAGAAGCAGGCACCCAACGCTTGAAGGGTGTCTTTTGTCTTTTTCCCTGTGGGGGAGTTGGCTCTCCGTTCGCAACGACATGTCACCAGGAAGGCGTGCATTGCCCACCCCCACCTCGTGCGAAGAAGGGAAACGTCCTCGCACTCGGAACTCTCAAGGGTTCACGCCCATTTTGAGCCTCCGGAGTTTCAGAGCCTCGTGTCGGGACATCTCATTCAGAAGACTGCGTCATCTCTTCCTAACCTCAGCTGGTTGCCGGCGTCACCGGCTCGAAAGCGCAAGCAGCGGCCTCGCAAGTCCACTGCCGGTCATTCTTGCCCCAGAACCCTCAGGTTCGGTTCGTTAGTGGGTTTTGCCCGAAACAGGCGGGGGAAAGAACCACCAGACCGGGCGGCCAGGAGCTCTCCATGAACGGCTGCTCCCAAATCCCGGCGGCGGTGTGGCAGCAGCTCGTCGAGGGTGCCCATTGGCCGAGGCTCGCGAAGGTGGACTTCTCCTGGCGCCTCGGCTTTCGGGCGCCTTTTTGAAGTGTGTGCGGAGGCGCGGTGGGTTTGAGGTGGCCGGCACCAAGGCATTCAGTGGGGAGTTCCGATGCCCCCGAAAAACCAGAAGCACAGCAAGGGTTTCAGCCCGAGGTG